CTTTAAATGAGAGAGCAGTGCCTGGATTCTAGTGAGAGCTGCATGTTGAACAGTCAGTTTGCATATTTGCTAATAAATATTTATGTTAACTATTTAAAAAACTCTTCGGGCCATGACTGATTTTTGCAGTGTTTTCAATATGGTGTAATGGTATGATTTTTATTAGCACCCACTCTTTAGGATGACTTTCCTGGAAGAGCATTCAAAAACCAAGCCACTGTTCTTCTGTATTTGTCCATACAGTTTTTATGTGTGTGTATGTGTGCATATGGAAATACATAAACTTTTTTATTCTTCTGGTACTTGTTAATGCATTCATACCACCCTCACCCCAAGAGATTTTCATCCTTCCTGTTTTTCCAGGAATTGGAATGGAGAGTAATGATACTGGTGGTCTATTCCAGTCACTTTTCAGCTAATTCCCATGCAGCACAGTTCTTTTTCCTGTAGTGTGTATTTAACTTTACCAGCATTTGGCACTAATGGATTGCAGATGCTGCAGAGTGTGTTATTATAAGAAGATTTCATGCTCTGGTAGTAATGTGTCATGCTTTTATAGTCTCTGAGTGTATGGTAGTTGTGACATTACTCACACAGTATTTAATGCTTGCATTTTGTTTAATAATTGTCTACTTTTTACAAGGGCTGTGGTAGATTTCGCAGAAAAATCATCCTGGAAGATATTTCAGCCATTGTTTAGACTCTCTGAAGTACACCTAAACCTAAGTGCAGTTGGGGATGTTACTTGTTGAGGTACAATTGAACTCCGCCCTTCCAGGAACACTTGAGTTGACAAAATTAATCTTTGCAGTAGTGTGTGTCCTGGAGCCCAGAGAGGGGAGCCTTGGGAAGTGTCAGTGGCTTCAGGCCCTTGTGCAGGAGCAGAGCTGCTGTTGTGCTTTGCTGGCAGAAAGCACTGCTGCTGCTGGGATTTCCCTTCGGCAGCCCTGCCCTCTCCACTCATCTGCCTGATTGTGCTGTGCCTGCTCTGCCTGGCCCACCCTGATGGTGTTCGACTGATGTGATGTTGTCACAAACAGGCTCTCTGGTTTCTGGGTTATCTACCTTCCTTCACAACACACGTTTTTGGAAACACATACCCAGATTTCTGTAAACACATAAATTTAGTTCTTAGAAGAGGCCTGAGAAGGAATTTCTGCAATTACTGTGAAGAGCTTTTATGCTTATTTTCATGTGACTGAATCCATTGCTTAGAGAATTGGTCTTGTATTTACAAGCTGAAAACATGACTAACCCCTAAACTGGTAGAAAATAACCAAATTACTTCATATATGCCCATATACCAGGCTGAGCAAGGGAGCAGAAATAAGAATAAAACTTGGAGTTTTCTATAACTCATGCTCTGTATTAGACTAGAAAACCATTTTTAGATCCCAAGTGGCACTAAGGAAAAAAAAATATTTTTATTAAGCAAATTAGTACATCAACATCAGTAATTTTAAGTTTCTATAGTTTTTTTTTTGTGCCTTGATAGTGTTTCACTATACTTAGTGTGGCTTTAATTAATATTTATGTAAATACAGGGTTTATGTAGTTCAGAAAAGAAGTTAAAAGGAACCACACTAGAGAATGCTCTACAAGAGCCATTTTGGAATTGGAGGCTTGAAAGCAGATTATTTCAGATACATTGAGAGTCTGCATCATCTGATCTGTCCCACATTCGAAGTCAGAGCCTTCTGAATTTCTAGGGATCCACCAGACTGTGAAGGCAAAATGCTGGAAGAGACATCGTCAAGGGCTAATCCTTTGTTTGCAGTCCCTGTACTGGAAAGTCATTTTACCTTCTGGTTTTGTCCTGCCTCAGTATGTGCCTGTTAAAATAAATGCATCTTTGTTATGCACGGGCACCACTTGCTCTGATGATAATGGAGTTTTCATATGCATGTTGAGTTACTGCATTTCTAATGCTGCAGAAGTCAGCACTGATGTACTCTGCTTTTTCTCTGTGCATCAGCATTGTGGTAATCAGCAGCTACATATATCTACATATATCTCTGAGTATTCTCCTTAAGGAATCTGGCAAAGCTACTTTTTTGAATGATTTTTGTAGCTGTCATTTATTTCAGTTATTATGTGATGGGGAGGTTCACTACAATTCAGCAGATGGAAGTTGGGTCCGAGGTAGTAGATAAACGTACTCTACAGGTTTTGAAATCCAAACACATTGCCAGTGTTAAGGGATTGTTAAAATCCTCAAACTCCAATTTACTTTTATTTAAGAAAGAAAAAACCTGTGCACAGAATACATGTGATGTGGTGATTTTTGAAAAGCACAAGAAGCCTTATGGATTGCAATGTTGAGCTACTGAATATTCTGAGTGATTATTGTAAGATATTTTGGGCCTGTAAATTACATACTACTTTTCAAATAATTGCTCCTTTTGTATAGAAATAAAGTGGGTTTGTACTCACTGTATTTAATGTTAGCGTTGTATTTATAAGAAGTATAAACAGAAGAGAAAACCGTAAGATTGGTTGGGGGTTGGGGTTTTTTGTTTGTTTGGATTTGTTGGTTTGGCTTTTTTTCTAAATTCCTGGTCATCTTCAAGATCAAGAGAAATCTGTAGATTTCTATTTTGATAGTAATTTGGTGTATTCTATCTAAATGTCATTATGTGATGTCCTTTGTGTGATTTTTTCCCTAGTTACATAGCTGTGCCCATTGTGGGTTAATGTGAGGTATTTGGCACTGGAAGTAGCTGCATCTCAAAGCAAAATAAGCTTTTTGGGTAACCAGTGAGTGACACAGGGGATTAATGGGGGTTGGTAAATTACATTACAGCATTGTTGGGGTGACCTCTTATAATGCCAATATTAAACATGTGGGACACCGAGTTCTTGTGTCTATAATCAGCGTAAATTTATCAAGTGGCCTGGCTGTGCTTGACCTTTTGCATGGAGAGCCAGTACAATGAGTGCCACGAAGCTCTCCTTTTCCAAACCAAAACACATGTACCTCTTTCGTCTAACAAGGCCTCTCTAAAGGTCAAACACAGTTGTAGTTCAGCTGAACAAAAGGCATCAGCGCCCTTCTTGCACCCTGTGCAATGCCACAGAAAAGACAGGAGGGGTAGAGGTTTAATTCATGGAAGGGAGGTCACGCAGTAAATGAAAGGGAAGATTTGCTGCTCACAGGTAGTGCACTACAATATCTTGGCTCTGACCATATGAGTTGGTGATAACTGATTTACCTACAAATATTTTATGCATCAATACATGTTCTGGTTTGGAATGCAATTTCTTTCTTTTCCTAGAGGGTTTTCTTTAATAACCTCACAATTTCAGTCAGCCCATTTATTTAATTGAGAGCATGTTGCTGTCTAGCCAGCAGATAAACTAGCTAACTCTGTCATTTTACCTTCTGAGTGCAGTTCCACATTGCAGGATTATCAGCCCAGAGCCAAGTTATCATACAGTAATAACAAGCTAACATAGCTGTGTGAGCACATTTAATTAATGGCAAAGATGGAATTCTCGACTTTTCCTTCACTTGGCCAGCATCCAGAAGTGTGTAACTTCTCTGCTGTAGGAATTGCTGTAGAATACAAACTATGCACATTTGCATGTAGGCATTATCTGGACAGTCTTTGATATCCATGTGCTGGTCTTGGTTCATTTTTACTGTGCATTTATCTCCCAGCTGTTGCACTTGTGCTTCATTTAGAAACTAACACTGAGGTTTCAAAAAAACCCTAATTTGAGGGGTCTTTAATGGCACAGCTACTAAAGGAAATACCAAAAGGCGCATTTTCACATGTTGTCTTTCTGAATAATGTTTTCAACAGCTGCTGCAGCTGTGGATATTGTCAGATTATGAAATATGCTTGAAACATGCTCACAGTAAGAGTGTCCACAGACTAGAATTTGTGAAAGCTTAAACTGAGCCCTCCAGAGTGCAGCTGCTCCAGACAACCAACAGCTCCTTCTCCACATTCCCACCAAGCATCACTGGACTGGATTGTTTCCAGCCTGGTTCCCAGTACGCTGTACATTGCTTCTGCAGTGGCTAGGTATAGATGCATTTTTGTTTATTATGCTCTGCTATTTTTATACCCAAAAGATTGTTAGGAAAGCAGGATGGAGTGGGAAAGGTGACTTGCTAAGTATAGAAGTTATTGTTACACTGACTCTTTGCACAAGCTGAGGTGAAAAAATGACTGTGGACTTTTGAAATAACTATATTGTGCATTCTTTTCTCTGCTATTTATTTTATTAACTTTACTATTTTTGTAATCCAGGAATTAAAAGGCTCCTCTCCACTTTTTTTCTCCCACACCAGGGTCAATATCTCTCACCCTGTTTCTTGTTTCTTTCTCCCTTTTTAACTACATGTAAAGCTTATGGCATCTGAATTGTAATTTGCGTGTTATTTTAAGATACCTAAGGTTAGCTTAGATGTATAAAGGTCTGAATCCTGCTTGCTTTTGGTCTGTAGTATAGGGAGTAATGTATCTGTATGCTGAATCCAAGTTTTAATGGATGTATGGGTCCTCTCTCAAACATATGATCAAGTAGGGAGGTTGTTTGGGTGGGTGAAACAGAACAAAAAGCCCTTCTGCTAATTTATCTGGATACCTGGATGATTTTGTGATTGTTCTGTCATTACTCCCCTTTTTTTAGCTAATTTTCAATTGTGGTAAGAGATCACAAGAAAATTTGCCCAAAACATTTATTCTCCTTTAGTGTTGATAGCATTTGGGACTGGGAGAGAAAAAATGTTTTAATGACTTCTTGTGATCTGATCACAACTGAGTGAATCTGGCAGCTGGATTGAAATTTGTTTAAAAACAGCTTAGTACTAGTTCTGTTTAATTTTTGTTGAGAATAAAAGGAAAGCATTTTAGTTTTAGTATTTGGTTTCCAGCATTCTGGAAATACATGTCATGGCTGTGTATGAATTTGATCTCATTAGCTACTGTGTTTTTAATGGCACTGGTGTAACCCTCATGCCTCTTTAGTAACTCTGCTCTCTGTTCCAGGTGCTGTTGTCAGGACTGATTGGTGTTGTTTCATGGAAGAGGCCCCTGTCCCTTGTGGTGAGCAACTCCCAGTGCTTTTGCCTTTACAGAGAAGCCTGATGGTTTGTGGGGATGATTTGCAGTGCTGTTGTGTATCCCGATGTTTATAAACACTTAGTACAAAAAGTGTGAAGCCTTTGAAGTTGTAATGTATAAATCATCTGGGTGAAAATAGTAATTTTCTACTGTCTCACAAACAGACTATTGGTCTGCTTGTACCTTTGCATTTAACTTAATTTGCCTAAAGATGCACTGCAGGGCAATCTTTTGAGCAGGTATCTGAATGCAAAAAAGCCCATTCCAAATTAGTAGTTGTTTGTCTTCATCTGCAGAAACATTTTCACCTACATTATTATTTATGTTGTGGGATTCATGTAGTTACTTAATAATGAACAGTAATCCATTCTTTGTGTGTGCATGCTAATAGAGTTTGTTAGCCTATTAATGTAAAGCAGTATTAGATGGAAATCAAGCTTATTAAAAGCACGTTGTGACTGTGTCAATAAGGGTGTGTTAGCAGGCAAACATTGCCTTTGAAACAGCGTGCATGTGTAACAGAGTAACACAAAATGTTAGTAACATAGTACTGAAGTTAGTCCTGGCATAAAAAGCATAATGGGCAGTGTGAAATGGAAAGTATTGTACTAATAAGAATAAGCTTGATTAGAACTGCAGGTGTATCTTTCATATTATGAACTCGGACAGTAGGCATAGAGCACATATCATTGGAATAAATAACATTCACACATCAGAAATGTTATCCAGGTCTGTTGAGACTTGCCTTCTCTGATTCCTGAACGCTCTCTTACATGTTTAAATTCAGCTGGGCTTTCTGATATTGACTCGATCAGAAATGTTATCCAGGTCTGTTGAGACTTGCCTTCTCTGATTCCTGAATGTTTAAATTCAGCTGGGCTTTCTAATATCGACTCTTTCAGTGAAATGTAAATAGGCAGTCATGGTCAGTGTAATTCAAGGAAATAAAAGGGAGGAACAGTAATGGTAACGTTGATGCTTGCAGGACAGCTCATCTTCCTGAAATCTGCTCTAGGAAATGATTTATTTCCAAGAGTAAGCTTAATGCTCTTGATTTAGAGTCTGATCTCCTGCATTGACCCTTGGTGGTGATACAATAATCAGCTGAAGAATGGGGACAGGGATGGTGTTTTTCACTTCTGTGTGTGATTAACCTGTGCAGTGGCTTTACAGTGGCTACAGAAAGTCCTGTTTTCCTTGCTGAGCTGTAAATACCTTTGAGCAGTTGGACCCCACGTGTGCAGGGTGACTCTTCTGATTAGCAGTCAATAATGTGTAACTTTACAACCTCACAGCTCAAAGTACCACCAACATGTTAATGAGCCATGTTTCTCCTGATCTGTTTATACAACACATATGCCAAATACATATGGTCAATAATTACCTTTTAACCTATTTTATAGTACTATAAGCAGCTAGACAATCAATTACAATATGTCTTTTTTTGTTGCAGTGTGTTACAAAATATGGCATTGCCGAGAGCGATAGCAGCTACATAGATAAATAGCTTTATCATTTGAAGCTATGAATAAAGTTATATAAAATTAAACCATGCAACATCTGTGGTGTCCTGAAAACTGGTGAAACTGTGATAATATTTTAAGGTGCAGTTTTCTGCATATCTTAGATTTGTGACTAAAGCTGGTTTATAATAACCAGTGTTTTGGCTATTGCTGAGCAGACTTATGCAGTAGCAAAGCTTCCTGGTTTTCCCACACAGCATCACTTGCTTTGGCTTTTTCCTTCCTATTTCCTTTGCTTATTAAACTATCTTTGTCTCTATCCACAAGTTGTTTTTGTTCACTTGGGCTTTTCTAATTCCCAGTCCTGCTGCAGGGGGCAGTGGTGAGTGGGTGGCTGTGTGGTGCTTTCCTGCTGGCCAGGGTCAGCCCCCCACACTGCTGGATGTGCCTTGCCCAGCACTGTAATCATACATGGTTTTCCCACAGATGCAGGGTCTTTTCTTTGCAAATGTATTATTTTCTGCAGGCAAAAAGAGGAAGTTGAAGAAGCATTAAACAGAGATTGTTCATCAACCCTTAATTTCTGGCTGTTTCATACTAGAAGTGTGTTATGTAGTATTGGGGTGTAGAAGGGAGTGTGTTGTTGCACAGTTTAACACTTTGGAACCAAAGTCAAAACTGACAGTAGTTGTGTATTTATAAGCTATTAGTATGAATGCTGTTTTGTATTCTGCATTCAGTCAAAGATTTACAAATGTGTATGTACTGAGGACATTTTACTGCAATATTAATGTGCAGTAAAATTTAGAAGTTCTCCTGCTAAAGTGCCTTTGCAAATCTTTATCATCTGGGAAATTCACCAGATTTTTTGTTAGTTTATCTGAATTTTCTTGGTCACCTCCTAGCCATCAGTTGCTTATGTTGCCAAAATACTTTATACATGCAAGGAATCAGTGTCTGTTATCAAACCCGTATTTACATTTACCAGAGGAAACACTCAGGCAAAGGAGATATTTAAATTGCTCACACATTGATTTTGAGCAGTATTTTCCATATATTTCAGATGTTTCCTCATTAGGCTTTCTCTGTTTTCATTTTGAAATCTCAGGGTATTGGTAGTGCTTTCAGAAAATCTCTCAAGGGTCCCGTTTTTGGAAACCAAGTGTTGGCTGTGTCACTACCACTGCTTAGTGTTAAAATGCAGTGTTGAAGTAGGAATTTGTTTCCTTCTGGTTTATGGAAGTGTCTGAAAATTGAGAGAGAGCTTATGAAGCACCTGAGGCTGAATTGCCTTGTAAAAAACCTTTAAATTGTGCAGTCAGATTATTTTTCTGTTACAATCTAATCCATGGTAATTGCAAATCTGTTTGTGCTAGGGAGATTAATTCAGCCTCTGAATTGAGTTGAAAGCTTCTCTGTTGCCATCTGGCATTTGAGTGACCCCAGAAAAATATTTTTACATTTCTAACTGAAAGTTTTTACAATAAACTGATAGATTTAATATTTTTTTCAATGAACTGAAATGTGGGGTTTCGTAATGTCTGTGAATGTCAGTGAGCACAAGGTAATACTACTTATTAATAAATGATCTTGATTACTTAGAGTAGGTATTTAAAAGCATTTGCTATGAAATGTGCATTCCAGATCCAGTTCTGTGCACCAGTGAACATGCAAATCAGTGCATGTATAACTCAATGAGTTGTCCCTTCAAATGAATAATTATTTCAAGCCTTTTTTCTGTTTGATAGGATTTTCTTAATTTTAGAAAAATTAGAGAAGCTGTCCTAAATAGCTGCAGTTCAACCTGCATATCAGGCAAAAGGGTGAACTGCTGTGCAAAGTCTCAGGCTGCACCCATGATAAGACTCAGTTAAATGCAAAAACTGACTTCTTAAAACATATTAATCTTGGGTCAGCTTGGTGTTTGTTGCAAAATGAGAGATTTTTCTTTCTAGAATTCCAGTAAAAAGCTTGAATTAGTTGAAATTCAGACTTGAGTATTTTTCCTTTTTTTTTTCTGTAAAAATCATTAGAAAAATATCTACATTGAAAAGTGAAATTTCTAATAATTTTAAATCAATACATTCACATATACATTTGCCCCATAAGATGCATGAATATGTAAAACTGGTCCAAATGTTTTTCCTCATTGATTATCTCCTCTCACTAGGTATCATTGCAGACTACAGCAGGAATAACCAAACTTCAGGAAACAGATGAAACCTAAAATGTATAGAAATAGTGTATTGGTGTATATATATAGTATATTAGTGTGTGTGCACATATATATGTATAGGGTATTTTATAACAGTAAGTTTCCTATATTCTGCTTGGTGAGGTGGAATGTTGACATGTTCTTGGCCATGTTGCTTAACCTGAGCTCTAGAGTCGCTTAAGGGGTGAGATAAGTTTTTTAAAACTCTTGTAAGAGAATTTGCCGCTTCCTTTCAGATGAAATCTGAGAGAAATATTTGAATTTTAAAAAAGAAAAAGTGGTTGTCTCCCTCTGGTACCCAGCCTCAAGCAGAGATTTGGTGTCTGGTTCCTGGAATAAAATGATCGATGTAGTGGAGAGGTAATGTCAGCATAAAGAGGTCAGGACTGCAGGAGGAGAGCAAGTGAAGGCATGCACAGCGTGGGATGAGAGCACTGTGAGGCAGCCATCCCTCGTGTGTCACTGCTGACTTTGACACCTGTGTGATGTTGAGAGGAGCTGCAGAACATCCCTCTGCCTTAACAGATCCCTTGATCACTCTGCAGTATCATTTCAGCGTGAGAGTTCTTTGAATTCCTTGATCAAATAGTTCATTAGGAACCCTGCTATTAGACAAACACCTTCTTTGAGGCTGAAGCTTTAGTTTAAAGGTGAACAAAACACTGGGTGAGAAAAGTGCATCTTACATACCTGTGTTTTCAGTTTGTGATGGGTTGGGCAGGGGTTGAATGCTGGGTATTGCTGCTTTCAAAAAGAAACTTGGGAGGCTGCAATAACTTCTGTTTGGAAAGCAAATCCAGTGCTGGTTCAAAAAGTAGCCCTTCAGATGTAAAGCTGTAAATTTTGATCAGAGCTGATGTGAAGCCAGGCTTTGGAATCGAGACCAGAATGTTTTTCTTTGACCTCTTTTCTGGGAGCATGGAAGGAAACCAACCCAAATTCAGAGAAGCTGAATGCTAAATCAGGGGGAAGAGAGTTGTGGAGGACTGGGACAGGAAGGAGAAATTGAAATGTGAGTCTGGTAACATGAGACTCACATGAGGAAGATAGACATCAAAAGATGACCAGACAGAAGTGGACCAAAACCATGTCAGTAAGAAATCATACAAGAGGATCTCCCATGTTTCAGAGATGCAGTGCCACAAGCACCATAAATAACTGAATTGCAATAGATTTGTATCTTAGTTCTGAATTATTTCAGTGACAAAAGTGTAGGCTGTAAATAGTATTTTCCTATACTTGGGACAAAGTTAAGTGTTCTTTGCCTCTTGCCTTCCTGTCCTCCCTTCCCTGAGGGTTAGTTG